GGCCGCCCGCATGGCTAGCTTATGCCCGAAATAATTACACGGAAACTGTATTTTTTTAAACACTGCCTGGCCCGTTATCTGTAGCCTCTTATTGGCTAGCTCTTACATATTGTTCTAACCCATTTCTAATATTCTGTGTAGCCCACGAGCTGGCTTACCAGGGAGGATCTTAACCTGCGTCTGTCTGGTGTGGGAGAATCATGGCGACTCCCTGACTCAGCTTCTTTCTCCCAGCATTCTCTTCTGTTTACTCCACCCACCTATGTTCTAACCAATAAAATGGGCCAAGGCAGTTTCTTTATTAATAAGAAACCACTCCCACATCAGAAGAGCACTTTGACATCAGACATGGAGACGCAGAGGTTGGAGCTGCCCAGATGGATTCAGTCTTGCTTTGTTCTGTTATTTCCTCACTATGCTCCCTTCCCCATGTTTTGGAATGGCAATGTATATCTTGTGCCATTATATGTTGGAAGTATGTGATCTGCTTTTTTATTTTGATTTTATAGGGGTTACAGTTAAGAGACTGCATGAATCTCAAAAGTGACTTTGAAACATTGTTGAGATTGTGATAGACAACAAGGACTTTTGAAGCCGGACTCAATGCATTTTTGCATTATGATATTGTTAAAAGCCTATAAAGCCTATGGGGACCAGGGAATGGAATATGATAGTTTGAATGTAATCGGTCCAAAGCTCATAGGGAGTGGAGGTGTGGCTTTGTTGGAGTGGGTATAACCTTGTATGTCACTGTGGGGTTTTGAGGTTTTCCTATGTTCAGGATACTGCCCAGAGTCTCAGTTGACTTCCTGTTGCCTGTAAGATGTAGGACTCTCAGCTACTTCTCCATGTCTGCCTGCTCACGGCCATGCTCCCTGCCATGATAATAGATTGAACTTCTGAAACTGTAAGCCAGCCACCCCAATTAAATATTTTCCTTTATAAGAATTGCCGTGGTCATGGTGTCTCTTCTCAGCATTAGAAACACTAAGACTGGCTTGAACAAGATCATTATAGTTTCTGCATAGAGAACAGACTGAAAGCAATCCAAAGACTAACAAATACACGAAATCCTTTACACAAAAATGTTTCTGTTATCTTAAAAGTAATTGCTAAAAAGTGATACATTTTAAAAATAAAGGCTCCAGCACAAAGGCACACTGACCACAGCCAAGGCTGAAGCAGGGGTGCTGGTGGGAGGGAACAGACACTGCATATTCTGCCTTTGCTTGTTGTGCTTGAAACATTTTTAACAAAGTTTTTTTAATCAATATAATGAGATTAATGATAAAGACAAGAATTCCACAATTAATTCCCTGTAAAGAATTCCACGAAGCTGAAGTGCCAGGACAAATTTAGACAGGAAAAATGCAACAGAGAAAACAAAACGGCCCATATTTGGTTCCAAAATGCCATGTGAACAGTACAAAATGGACAAATCTAGATAACTGTTAAAGGAAGTAAAACAGCCGGGAGTTTCATACACTGCAGCAAAGTCAGCAGAGAGACTGCCAAAAACCAACAGCAAACTCAATTCATAATTTTAAAAAATAAAAGGATATGATTGCCTCAGGAGCAGACTGCTTTATACCTGCTGCTATTTGCAATTCTAGAAGCCTCTTCTAATGTAGCCTGTGTTCAGTCATTTCCAACTACATTATATGGAGAGTGGGTGAGGGAGCTAAGGGCCTTGGGACAGAAAACCATAGCCCCTTGGGGAGACAAGCGGGTTCTCAGGATCCCAAACCACAGATCACCCAAGGCCCTGCCCCATGTTATTACGGGTTCTACCAAGCATATTCCTGGTTTAGAGAAGGAGCTATAGTTCTCTCCATACATCAGGGCTCGGGGGACCTCAAGTCAGGTCCTAGTCCTCAACAGTTTTTCTTAAAGGAAACACCACACACACACACACACACACACACACTTTAGAGTTGCCTCTTCATTTTAGCCAAAGAATGCCAGGTTGGTTTAATATCTAAAAGCCAATTAATGTAAATACCATATCAATGGAATTAAAAGCAAACCACATAATCATCTTGACAGAAAAAAAGCACTTGGTAAAATCTAATATCCAACCCATGATCAAAAACATTTAACAAGCTATGAACAGAAGGAAATACCTCAGTCTGAAACTACATCACCCCTACCACACTATATTTAATGGCACAGAAATTTCTTCTTGAGATCAGAAACAAGACAGAATATTGGCTTTTATCACATCTATTCTACACAGTACTAGAGACTCCAGCTAGTCTAGTTAAGCAAGAAAAAGAAATAAAGGGGATATAAGATCAGAATGAAAAGTAAAACCCTCTCATTTGAAAACAACATGATTATGTTCAAAAAGCTAAGAAACAAGTTCAGCAAGTGGCAAAACACAGGCTTGATACATGTATCTACCGTCTAACAAGGAACAATCTCAAAATATTCACAATATAGCATTTAAAAGAAAATAGGGGTACATTAAACAAAATAAAGGTTTAATACTGAAAAAAAAGTTCTTTGAAAGAAAAGGATCTGGATAGACAGAAATCCTGTGTTCACAGATGGAAAGCTTAGCATTGGAGAGAGAGCAATCTTCTGAAAGCTGACTCAATATAATCTAGCAAAGTCCCGGCTACTTTTTGGTTCTTTGTTGTTGTTTTCTTTCAGGGATTAATGAAATGGTCATAAAATTAACACTGAAATGCTGGGCACAAGACCCAGAAAATCTTATACCTTAATATTGCAAAAGAAAAACCTAGGGGACTGTAACTTCATAGTTTCAAAAGGGCAATGTATAGCCTATTGAATTAAAATGTAGGTATGAACTTGTGTTTATAGCTGACTGGGTTTAACAGGGTGCCAAAAACAATTCAATGAGAAAGCGCAGTCTTTTCAATAAACGGTGCTGGAACAACTATACACCCCATATGGAATCAAATTCTTGCCTCCTATCATACACCAAAAAAGAATTTCAAAGGTGCAAAGATGTAAATGCAGGGGCATAAATAATAGAACTTGCAAACATAGGAATATATTGTCAGATAAGAAAATGATTTATTTGTCTTAAACATATCTGACACTAAAAGCAACAAAAAACCCTGAAATTCATCAAAATTTAAAGCTTTCCTTTTTTTGAATAAAGTGAGCACAACGCACTGGATGGGAGAAGATAATAATGGACTAGTAAATGGAGTATAGAGAAACACTTAAACTCAACAACAGAATGACGGGCTCCTGGCTCTTAAAAGATAAAAGACTTGGTAGCTATCTATTTACAGAAGATATGCAAAAAGCAAACACACACACATACACACACAAAGTTCTTCAATGTCATCAACCACCAGAGAGACAGAGAGATACAAATACAACCACAAGGAGATGCCACTTCCGACTCATTAGGGCAGCTGTAATCAGAAGGGCATGGAATGAACGCGACACCAGCTGCAAAGTGCCATGAGACCAAAAAGGTAGATAGACCCGGTACTGCAGTGTCATTTATTCTGGGACTTACTGACGGAAGTATAAGAGTCAAGACAGCAAAAAGACTGGTGACTTTCCATTATCTGGATCAGAAGAAGGATGCTTTTGTCACCAGCAGGACATATGGTTTCTCCAAACCCAAGAACACACCATGTTTGTCTTAAGCTAATGCCAAAAATGGCAGGCACATCACAACGCGTTAGGCTCTGCTCATACAGTCCGACACACCACTCTAAAGGAAGTTCACAGGATTACTCAAGAGCAGTCATGGTGGTCACAACCCAAGATGGCTACGGTCATTTCAACTTTGTCCCTACGATTTGCAAGATGTGGTGGAATCAGAACCATCGCATGCTGCTAGTAGGCCTGTAAAGTGGTAGAGCTGCTTTGTTAACTGTCTGGCAGAATCTCGAAAAGTAGAATAAAACTGTAAGACTAGGAAGTCACACTCTTAATTCCAATCACCATCAGTCCACACAGAAATCTTTAAACAAATGGTAGCATTATTCCTAAGAGCTGAACGGCAACAAACAAACAAACAAAAAGCCAAAAACCTCAAATACCCCTAACAAAGAGATCAGTAAAATGTGACCCATCGACACAATAGACTAGCATTCAGCCTGTAAAAGAAACGAAGCACATATTAGAAGATAAATGAACCTTGAAACATTATGCTAGTTTTAAAAAGCCAGTTAGCCAAATGACAGAGGCGCACACCTTTAATCCCAACTCAGAGGCAAAGGCAGGCGGATCTCTGTGAGTGAGGCCAGCCTGGGCTCCAGAGCATGTTGCAGGACAGCCAAGGCTACACAGTGAAACCCTGTCCCAAAAAAACAAACCAAACCAAACCAAATCAAACCAGAAAGCCAGTTAGGAAGAGCACAGGTAATTCTAGAGAGGCAGAAAAAGAGGACTGGTTGCACTTGACTACAGATGGGGAAATGAGGAGAGAATTACAGCTACAACAGATTACCTTCATGGGGGCAAAGAAATGTTCTAAAACTTATTGGGGTGATGGCTACACAGCTGTGAATATGCAAAAAAATTGACTCATGTGCTTAAAAAGACAAATTGCATGGTACATGTATTGGATCTTGGGGCGGGGAGAAAGAAACACCTCCATAAAACCTTTGTTAAGTTCTAATAAGAGACTGTTGTCTATGAACATCTCCACTGTCCCCAGTGCAGACCAGACGAATACCAGCAACTGACACTCATCTGTCTTCGTCTACTAGACCTACTAAACCAGGAGTTCCCTGAGCAGGGATTTAACTCGTGTTCCTTGGAATGCAGTGAGCATCCACACATTGTATGCATGACATATGATAGAATGTACCAAAACTGTCAGTCGAGACTGCCTTTTAAGCGGTCCTCAGGGAAGCTTTACTCTAACTGGGGTCATCAGGAAAGTCTAGAGAGGATACATCTCAGCAGACACTTAAATGATGAGAAGGAAGCAAGAGAAGAGCATTTCAGGAATGAAGAAAATAGAAAGGGCAAAAATGTCAAGATGGGAACACTGATCTCAGTACCTGGGTTTTTAAGGAAGGCAGTCACATCTACAATGAACGCTATACCCCACAACACTGAGAAGCAGAAGTGTCTTCCACTCACATTCCATAGTACTTCTTTAAGCTAGTTCAGCTGGGGAAAGGGGGTTTTACAACTCTCCACGGTTCAGGATTATCACAGAGTTTAAAGATGATCTTGAAGATCTTCACTCTTCAAGACAAAAAACACCGATAGGGGAAAAAAATGAGCAAAACGTTTTGAATTTTGTAATGACAGAAAAGGAGGGGGAACGGCAGCTTTACAAGCACAGCTCATCAAACACATTCTGCAGGCAGAATAATGTGCTCAACCTGCCTTCAGCCCCTGGAGCATGGTGCTTTGCATTCCTAGTATTTTTAATCTCTAATGCTCCGGAGGATGGAAGGACAGCCAATATGCACAAATTCAAAGAGGATTATGGTTCAAAGGGAGCTGTCCAGCATTCAACAAGCTGAAATCAGAGGGACCGTTCACAGACAGTTCCATGGCTCAAGGATGGCGGTACAGGATTATTCACAAGACAAAGTTACCAGCAGAACTTGGCCAACAATAGCGAATTGTTCCAGTCCCATCTCCCAGCATTCAGGACCATGCATTTACAGATTCTGTAAAACTTCCAGAATGTAGTAGTCAAGGGGGCTGATTTTGAAGCAGCACACTCATGCCAAAAAAAAAAAAAAAAAAAAACCCAAAACCAAAAACCCACGAGAATTAACAGGTATGAGGAGTAGAGTAACTTGCTTATCTCTACCTCAGGAACAAAACATGGTTTAAATTATTGAACAAAATTTTTGATGTTTTTGTTGTTTTGAGACGGGGTCTTACTATGTAGACCTGCTGGCCTGGAATTCATTAAGCAGGCTAGGCTGGCCTTGAACTTACAGTGGCCCTCTGGAACGGCAGCATCACAGGCGCGGACCACCAACACCAGATCAGGTCGTGCTAAGAGAGGCAACAAACGGCTGAACCAGTGAGCACCCAAAACAAAGGTGAAACTCCACTACCGACTAAGATTCCTACTGACTCTGTTCAGGCACGGGTGACGAGACGACAGCCAGCCACTGAGGGGAATGGTGCGGGCCTGGGAGGCCGAGACCGCCCGCGAGCATCCCCTGCGCTCACCTTCGGGGTCCGCCGGCGGCTCCGGGCGCTTCCCGCGGGACAAGAAGGCTTTGGGCAGCAGCAGCGATACGGCTAGGACAAGACCCGAGGCCAGCGCCACTCTCTGCACCGTGGAGTACGCCATGGCTGCGTACCGCTGGGCCCAGGAATTAAAACCGGAACCGGAACCGCAGCGCGCAAGCCGGTTCACGACCGACCCGCGGGCTGCGCAGACGGCGGCGCGCGAGGGACAAGACCCTCCGCTACGCCTACGCCGTGTACCCTAGGGCGGTGTGGTGCGTGGCAACCATAAGCTACCCTAATGTCCTTCAGTTTGCTCCGCGTCCAGCTGTCACCCAGGCACGGCCATCCTAGAGTCTAGACCTCCAGCGATTTTACGTTCCTTTCTATCCCTGTTCACCTCTAAACCCTTGCCTCATTTGCAGGAGGAACTTTTTCCCAGCTTCCATTCATGCACATTGCTTCCACAACTCATCTACAACCAAAGGCAATAAAACAAAAGGGACTATTGAGCTCTCGCCACAGCTCAAAGCTTTACAGAACCTACCATGACCTCCAGAACGACATTATACTTCTTTATCTGACCTTAAGGGCCTGCACGATCTAGTCTTACCAACACTTTTTGGAAACTAGATGACATATTTGCTACCAATTTTCTTGTTTCGAGGGGACTTTTGTTCATCCTGTTTCCTATTCCTGGGAGATACCTGATCTCATCATCATCTGTCAAAAATTCATCAAAAGAAACAGCTTAGAACAACTGTCCTTATGAAACTTAGCCAACCTCTTCATGTCACAAAACCTTGGCTCTATGCCACCTGTCTCTATTCCTTTAGCCAATGTTCTTTTAGTTTTAAAGTACACATTAAACTCTGAAGTTAGCATCACTTCAGAAGCAAATGGGTTCCACTGAGAAACAGGAAAGGCTCTGCTGGGGTCAAATTTGAACTCTTTATTTAATGGGCAGACAGTTGAGAGGAATTAGGGGTGCATTCCAGGAAAAGCAAGCAAAGAAAATTAAGGCAGGAAGCTCCTGCCTCAAGCTTCTGGCTGTGTTCAGAGAACACCAGCAGCTTATTTTAGCTGGGTGTGCAGTCATAAAGTGGTGAGGCTCTAGATCTCAGAAATAGGTACTGGAAAGAACAGGGAGAGCTTCCAGTTAAACATGGAGGGTGTAACACATGCATTTATCTTTGTTTTCCCCTAGACACGTCCCAAAATGAAAAGGGGTATAAGCCTTCAAGACTAAAGAGAATGCTAGAAAACAGGATGAGAAGGGTCAAAACTGTGTAAGGTACACAACACCACCCAGTTGAAACACAGTTCAGAATTCCTATTAGCCATATTAAATGACTTAAAATAAATATGTGAAATTAATTTAAGTAAGTCTTATTTAAACTGATATATCCAAAATATTGTTTCAGATTGAGTAGCACTAGCCAGTCACATTTTAGGGACCCACTAGCCACCTACCAACTGGATAGTGAAGGTGTACAGCACAAAAAGTTAATTGCTACAAAAGGAAAGCCTATATGAAGCAAACTAATTTGCGCCCAAGAACCTATAAATTCTAGTAATTACAAGCACTGGTTATCTTCAAAGGTCAGGGTGTGGTATGTAGCTGAATAAAAAAGGACTGGTTGAGGGTCTAGTTAAGAAGCAGATGTCCAAGCCAGGCATGGTAGCACACACCTTTAATCCCAGCACTTGGGAGGTAGAGCCCAGTGGAGCTCTGTGAGCCACGGCCAACCTGGTCTATACAGTGATTCTAGGAGAGCCAGTGCTATATAATAGAGAGACCCTGTCTCAAAACAAAATAAACAAAAAGTAACTATTCTTCAGATTTTTTTCCCTGATGTTTGTCCCTGCTGACACCCGTATTTATGTTATCCACACCGCTAAAAGCTGTGAAGTATTTACAGTGTTCTCAGGGTCACACATATTGCCTAGTTACTTTTCTGTTGCTGTGGTAAACTCCATGACTAAAATCAATCTGGGCTAGGATTCAGCTTATATGGGTTACAGTTTAGTCCATCATCAAGGGAAGTCAAAGCAGGAACTGAAGCAGAGACCTAGGAGTGCTGGCTTGTTCCTATGACTCACTCAGCTACTGTTCTGAAATAATTGCCCAGGGATGGCACCACCCACAGTAGGCTGGGCCCTCTTACATCAGGCAGCAATCAAGAAAATGCTCTCACAGACATACACCCACGAGAGAATTTGATGGAGGCAATTCCTTAACTGAGGTGCCTTCCTCCCAGGTGACTCTACTTGGTATCAAGTTGACAAAATCTAACAGCAAACATAACTCAGTTGATTGTCCTAGTGGCTATAGAAGTAAGCAATATTATATGACATCTGAGAGAAGAGAAAGACAAGGCACAACAAACTTAAGAAACTTACAGACAACTACCTGTTATGGATTGGAATCTGTGATTTAAACCCGGGAATACTTTCCCTAGTACTACTGGCTTTACTCTCTACAGAGGCAGGACCAGAGAAGCTCTGAACTCATGGACAACCAGTGTAGGCTAGGAAGCTATTACTGAGGGAATGTGACCACCAAGAGATAATCTGGAATAATCTCCCAAACTTTGGTTTGTATGACTGGGTCGGCTTTGATTCTATATGACAAAAAATTCATAACAGGAATGCAATAAAGTTGGTAAGAAGATCATGAATTCATGTTATGATGTTGATGTTCCATGAAATACCCACATAGCAATATCTAGAACACATGCTCACCTTTGAAGAGATGTGTAGGTTGAAGTCAATTGGTAATATAATCAGTAGTAAGGTAAGTCTGGGAGAAGACATTAGAAAGAGTGTTCATGGAAAGTAAAGGGGTAACAACGGAAATCTAATTAACAATGCCATGCTGAAGTTCCCATGTGTGGACTGAAATAGGCAGGTGAAGATAATGCCCCAGATGTTAAACTCTTGAGTGAGAGTTAGAAGATTGGAAGGTAATATGTATAGAGATAAAGCAAACAACTATGAAAAACAAAGAACTTGATAAGTTCTTTTAAGAATGTGTGTGAGTGTGTGTATGTGTGTGTGTACAGGTGTGCATGTATGTATGTGTATATAATCAAATTCATGTGGAGATCAAGATCCATTTTATTTTAAGGTAGAGTCTCCCACTGGCCTTGGAGGTCACTAAGTAAATCAGTCCAGGTAGGCGAACTAGCCAGCAAGCCCTAGAGATGCACCTACTTCCCCCACCAGCACTGGGCCGGAAAGCATATGCCACTGCACCTGTTTGTTTGTTTGTTTTCATTTTTATCTAGTTCTAGAAATGAGCATAGTTTTTTCACATTTGTAAGACAAAGCCCTTTGCTCTCTTAGTAGGCTCTCCAGCCCCTGGCACTATATTTTTGTTATTGTTAGTGGCAGTGGCAATGGTTTATTTGTTTGTTTATAAAGAAGCAGGTATATGAAAGCATCGAGAAGGGCTGAGTTGTATACCTACTACGTTCCTAGGCTTTGAGCCATGGGAAGACAAATATATATTGTGTAGGAAAAAAGTGCAAAGGATCCCCTAGAACAAGAAAGTTAAGCAAAGTACAGAAAGAAGGAGAGGGGGCACAAAGGTGGGGGTTATGGAATATTTGTACACTATGTGAAAATGTATGACAGTAATTGGTGTAATAAAAAGCTGAATGGCTAATAGCTAGGCAGGAGGTATAGATGGGGCTTCAGAGTAAAGAGAGAACTCTGGGAAGAAGGTGGAGCTGACAGACTCAGAGGAAGCAGTGTTAGCAGTACAAAGAGATGAGGTAATGAGCCACGCAGCAGAATGTAGATTAAAACAAATGGATCAATTTACCTTACAAGAGCTAGTTAGGAATAAGTCTAAGCTATAGGCTGAGCTTTCATAATTAATAAGTTTCCATGTTATTATTTGGGAGCTGGTGGGACAAAGGAAGACTCGTTCCAGGGGAGGATGAGAGATGAAATGCTATAGTAGTTAGGGGATGGAGGACCATGTGAAGACAAATGAACAGCAGTCATTGTCACTGTGAATGGACAGAGACCATGATCACATTAGACCAGGGAAGTCGCCTAGTGAAAAGTGAAGACACCACGTTAGAGTCCACAGCACCTAACTGGGTCCACATTCAGTATTTGAGGCTGTCCTTGAACTTTAAATCCTCCTGTTTCTATCCCCTAAGAGCTGGATTACAGGTATGTGCTACCAAGTCTGGCTAGGCACGTTCTTTTTTTAAGGGAAGAAACAAACATTTGTGTGTTTATCGGGAAATGTCAGGAAAAGGATGGTGGAAAATCTAGAAGCAAGAGGGATCACTATTAGAGCAAAGGCCAGGCCTGGAGCAGACACGAGGACCACACACCAAATACTTGGCGGTGGAGCCAATGTAGAAGAAAGAAGCAGGAGTGAATTCTGGCACACATTAGAGGCATGGTGTAGGGACAGCAGATCGAGGGAGTGTGTGCCCAGTGCAGCAGAACTCCCGGCAAAAAGGATATATTCAGGCCCTTAACAGAGGAAAAGCTTCCGGAAAGAGTGGAGGGAATCGTTCCAGCTTGGCAAAGAAGGCATACCGACAACCCGGGATCACAGATAATTATGGATTGCTTGTTCTCGCCCTGGAAACAAACAGCATCTTTTTACCAGCACATTCTAGGCTGGCTTTGGCTTCCCCACAGCATCCCTCGAGCGTGGAAGCCTCCAAGAGACCCATTCTAGAAGAGTAGAGGTGGGCAGGAGAGAGGAGGGGAAGCTAAGAGATCTTCAGTTATTAGACCAAAGGAATAACTGAAGTCCTCAGTGGAAGATGGGCATTTCTTGTTGGTGACCGTGGTCGTGAGGACCTCAAAAAGGGGTGACCTTGGTGATCAGCGGCTGCTCTAGGTCCTTGACATCAATCCTGAAGTTAAAAGGTTATGTTAAACGTAAGGATGCTTGCGGAGTTTTTACAGGCAGAAAGGCAGTGGGAAATCTAATTCTAGGGTATTTACTCATAAGTAACTGTGAAGTGACTGGATTAAAGTGACAGCTATTTCTTTGTTTCCTAAATGTGAGGCCTTCCTGGAAAGCAGGTACAGATAGGACGGAAGAGACCAGAGAACTCTTGTGGGAAGTCTGGAGGAGAAGGAGGGGTTTCA